GTTATGTTGTGCAGGAAAAAGGAAATACCGTAGCGCTCGAAAGCCTTCGGCCGAACGCTTCTACGCATTTTCGCATTTATACTTTTTTCTTAGTGTAGCAAATCGCGCGACATTTTGTTATTTTTATCTTAAGCATATTTCACATTATATAATACTATTTGACTGCAAAGTAGCGATATCCACGTAACTAATGGGAGTTTTTTTTGCGGTAGCGAAATTCGGTAAAAGCAAAGCTAGTAACGTCTGCAACCTTTGCAACTTTTGCAATTCGCACCTTGTGCGTTTTCCTCCTCTACTGTGTTCGGCATTAGCGCCCCGTACAATTAAGTCACCGCAAAAATGAAAGAAATTTCAAAAGAACCTTCATTTGTACTTCCAGTTGATTTTGAGTTCAAGCTTTTTGAGATATCAAGAACATGATCAGAATGTAGGTTAGTAATGGTAAATATCCACAATACACCAATGCTACACATATCGAAACTTCGCATAGTTAGATCCAGTAGGAAAGGAGTCACGACTGAAAACTGCGGCTAAAGTAGCATATGACTTTTGAGCGCTACTGTACCACCATCCTACTCATCACCTACCCAGTGATATATCAATCAAATAATGGTCTACTCGCATGTTTCCGCATAACTATTCTAGATGAAAAGAACCTGCGAAGTATTTGCTAAGAATTTCGCTGTCTCGGTGAGTAGACATACTTGACACAAGTGTTTGTTATTATTTCTTTATTGCTGTATATTGTACACTTTTTATGTACTTAAACTTATTGTAGTATCGATGTACTTCATTATTACAATGTTACGAAGCATGCCACATACCATGTTATTGAACTTTATTTTAAATAGCTTTTTGGTATAGGACGAAGGGCCATTTGAGTAACAAGAAACATTGAGAAGAGACCCAAATTACCAGGGTAGAGGACATGTTGTCTAAGTAAACTAATCAATCAAATTAAGTAAATTTAAATGTTCTCAGGAAAAAAAGGATGAAAATCACAGAAAAGGCAGCTACTGTAGTCTACATACTAATTATTTTCATGTTCTGGATTTTGTTAATATACATATATAGAATAGTTAAAACAAAGGGAATTACCAATATTATTAGAGTCAGATCTAGTATTCCTTATATACCGTATAGGGTTACACACAGATATGCTAAGCCCGGTTCTGGTCTAATATTTAATTATAATGAGGTACTTAGAAATCCCGGTAATAATCATTTGAAAACTATTCTTGACGCAGACTGTGTGTGTCATAGCCAATTCCTTATGTGTATAATTATTATGAGCATATAGTAACAGGTAATACAAAGATAATACCTGATAATAATATTAAACAAGTTTTAGACAAAGGATGTAAGTATAGTATTGAAGAATATGCAAAGTAATCAAATGCGTGTATAAGTGAAAGGATAAAATCCTCGAACACATCGGAAACATAATTTAACTTATATTATTCACAAAGACCAAATCTAGGTTATATCTACAAGGTCTCAATAACACCTCTGTTATAGACAGCTAGTTCAAACAGGTATTAGTCAAACTTCACTAAAAATTCATTTTTTATACCCCAGATAAGGCTAGTAACAACTATGGCGCTATATGTAAAAAGAAACTATATCCTGAGAAAAGGAGATGGGACTCAATCAAGCAGTTAACGGTGCGAGTAAATACACCGTTTAATCTTTACCAGCATGTTCAAGATAGTAGCTTCAGTGAGGTCATCGATAGACACAGGGATTTTTCACATAATAATAAGCTACAGGATCTACCTTCAATGGCTATACCGATGATTTATGCTATTCCTTAACTTAATATAGTGCCTACTAAGATTGGATTCCTTACTGGTGCTAGAAGTAATAGCATAAAATCCTTAGCTGTTTTCATTGGTAGAGTACCTTTATCAAGTCACACTTCTATAAATATAATAACACCATCAAAAGTAGGAATAGCATTTTCATAGGATATTGGACTATAAATAATATTAATATGAGTGAGCAAGTGCAAAACATAAGAGTGGATAACATAGAGGTATTTTCTGCAGACTTCAACAATATGTTCACCAACCTTTCTCACTACATTATAATGAAAAACATTAAGAATGTTTTGAAGCCATGATATAAAAATAGCAACAAGAAGTATATAGCTAGCAATGGTTACAATACCTTTTACACGGACAATATAACTTATATTAGATATAACTACTACACTACAGAGGATCTTCTTTATGCTATTGATTACTTACTNTTACTTACTATCTAGTAGCTATTGTAAATTTGCAGAATACTTGTTCATACAAAAAGTGGGAGGTCACCAAGGTAGTTATAAAAGTCCTTTGCTTGTAGACCTTACATTGTCTTTAATTGAATATGAATATTATGCTAAAGATTAATGCACTAGGACTTAAATCGATACCTTTCAAGTACACGGACAACCTACTTATTATACGTAATGCAGATGCTGATACAATTCTACAAAAGCTTAAGCAAGTTTATAAAAATACTCTCGTCTTAGAAAAAAACCCATGAAATGAATACAGATTGAACTATTTGGATTTACAAATACTCATAGAAGAAGGTAACATATATTTACCAAGACGTATAATGAGACAGATAGTTTTGACTGTCTCGTCAAACGTTTCCCACATTACATTACTAATGTTCCAAAGGTATTAATATACTCAGAAATATTAAGAATCGCCAAACTTGTGCATATAAAAATGATTTTTTAGATAGATAAGAGTATATGAGTTATCAAACATGCCGAATGGGTTATAGTTAAGACCAGTCGGGCCGACCGATTAACGCAGAGCTTCCCTCTTTCTCATAGTAGGGTTGTAATCGATCGGCGAATTGACCCTTCGTCATTTGGAACAAGTGATATTTTCAGAACACGAAATTCGACAGAGGACTAATAGGGAATGGAAGATGCATTGCTGCCGATGCTTACGCCTGTGATTAGAAGTTTCAATCTCTTGCTGTTCATCTTAGAAATAATGACCCATTGAAAATTCATCTGATAGGCTACCAAAGCCGTGAATGGTACTTACAATTGTTGTCGAGCCATACCATTATGAAATGTCTCTATCAGTAAAGCTTCTTTCCTCTACGGTAATACCACTCTACGGTAATACCATTAAATGTGAATTCAAGAATATCAGCGGTCGGATAAGTTTTGCCAAGAACGGTATCGATGCAAAGAGAAACAGTGATCCTTCATTGAGTCCCAAACTTTGCTGGATAGCGGTCGTAAACTAACAGCAAGAAGTAAACCAAATTTCATCTCCTTATAATCGCACCTATCACTCAACTTACCCTTCTTGTCGAATGGAACATATCAAAGAGTCAAAGCTAGATCGTAAATAACAAAGGCGTTGGATTTGATTGGTGAGCAGATCTTCTTTCTAAGGCCTCTTCTATCGTCAGCGTTCCTTTACTGCTCCTATGGGTAATCTCGCCCACTGTAAGCGAAGTTTGGCCCTCCCACCCACTATAATTGTTCCTTACATGTCGGCTGCACTCCTACCGAACTTGAACGCTCTAGGTGGAATAGGAGTTATGATGTTCCGCTCACATCCACCCAACCCCAAACCCCACCCCCTGTGGACGGGGTCAAGTCATGCCACCTAGCATAAACGTTCCCATCCTGCCGTCTAGACACCTACCAAGTTTGAACGCCTTAGGGTCAAATTGGCAATTTTAGCGCAAACCCAGCTCTCTGAGGCGGAGTCGGATACTGCTACCCGCGATAAGTGCTCCCATCTCGAACGTCTCAGCTCCACGGGGACGGGAATTATGAATTCCCGGTAGGACACACGCACTTACACACATACTACATATATACAAACACACAGACATTAGCGTGTTATGTATAGTAGGATATTTTTATTCTGGATCTTATAAAATGCTTATACAGAAATGAATTTATCTCTATAAATACGACTTAAGTTAAATCCTTCATTAAAATATTAGACACATAATATTATAATATTAGTTGTGGAACTACTTAATTCCCTAGTCAGAACACGGAAGACCTATAAGCTTCGTGACAAGAAGAAATTGGAGAGAAAAAACGAAAAGCGCGTGCCGTGCGCTACTTGCTCGCAGCTCGCGCTTCGACAAACCTTTTCTTGACTAAAGGATGCTCAGCGCGGAAGAAATTTTGAGATCCCAAAGTATACATATATTCCACATTTTGAGTGCTAAAGCCGCTTAGGAGAATTAGATCGCCTTCCATTGCCATTTTCCCTCTTTGATGATAGTTTTTGCTAGAAACTTTACCATCAGAGCGATATCGCAGATTTTAGCCGAAAAAAGTACAAAATTTAATCCTAAACTCTTTAAGAAGGGTCCATCTAATCTTCGATCCCTGGTAAGCTTAGGGTCAATTTTTTTTAAGATTATGATGTGAGAACTACGGTGCGCCTGCTCACGAATGGGAAAAGATAAGACTGGTGCTGAGGGGTGTTCGCGACTTTATCCCAGCTTCCAATCCTCTACGAATTCCTAGACCACAATGTTATGGGTTGCTGGATATAGTTCATACTGGAGAGGGAAGCCTGCGGCTTCATAACGCACCACTGCTGCTGCTCATAAGGAGCCATTGAAAAAACCCCATGCTGGAGTTCCTCAAGAGACTCTGCGTGCCTCCGTCTATGAGTAGCCGAAGCATCTTTGAGCTATAATTAGTATAGGAGACGGTTATATAAGGTGAACGTGTTTCATTTTGTACATAGATGTGATGCATAGTGAACAATTCACATAAATCACCATGTATCAATATGAACTGCGGTTTTCGTAGCCCAATTCTTTTGTTACTTACCATATTTATGGCGCACCCTGTACATTGCAAGAAAACTTACATGTGCAACTAGATGGTTAACAGGAAATGAAGTAAATCTGATAAATTACTTCTACCTTATAAGTTTCTGAATTTTGGTGCTCATAATTTTGTGTCACCCTGTATAAATGCTGGAATATGTCTAGAAATCCCCCTTTCAGTGTATTTTGCAACAGGTAGAGATGAACAAAGGCATAATCAGCAAATGAGCGAAGCCATTAGCCATGAGGGCAAAGAAAGGTGAAAAGACTGAGACTCACCGAAGTAATCCAGTAAAGCAATTTTGTTGACTATACCAGGTGATCCCAAGCCAGAGATATTTACTACAAGATAAGTCCTCCGGAAGGAAACAGGTCTTAAATGCGCCTCAAAAAAGAATGATGGCACATCGATGCTAAGAGAAGAATCAGTCGTGAGCTACACCGTACCATTTCAAATCGCTCCAGAAGTTTTGGAGCAAACCCATACTTAAAGTCGACATTGCCATGCCCAAAGACTCTAACTGTATGTTTCAATCGTGACTTCGTTATCACCTAAAGGAATGTGTGATGCAAGACCACCGTCATTTTGTCATATATTCAGAGTAACCTGCCACATTCCAGGTTGAGGATTCCCCAGTCGTATTAGCTTGACGTTTCGAAGATCAATGGTCCATCCTTCCTGTCTGTAATCGCTCTTCTTTAATGTGCGTCCTGAAAAGAACGTGACTGACAGACGGGCTTGCTTCAATCTCAAGTCCGTACCATAAACATTACATCACATAACGATTAACGTGTATGTGTGAACACAGTGAAGAATCCCACGAAGATGATAGTATGACAAACATGCTTGAGCTTCACAACAAATGCTTTATAAGTAATTGGGGAAATCCTATGAATATGATCTAGTGAAACTCAAAAAGTGTTGCTGAAGGGCCTTTGTGATGTTGCTCTCTTAAACATCTGATGCCCCGAACCAAGTTAATCGAGAGAAGAAATGTTTCTCCCAATACCTATAATTCAGCACAATTGCAGGGTTCACTGTTTCGGTACGCTGCCGCTCATTCTCTCTAGCTGCTGCGGTACCTTCTGCCATAGCATAGTTCCGGATCGGTCCACTTCATCACGTCCTTCGACCCTTCTTCGAGGCTCCACGTGATGGGATTCCTCGAGCTTCACAATCCGCTGCTTCTCTCAACGATTAACCTCAAGTTCTTTGCAGCACATACTCAATTAAGCTCAGGTGCACACAGACATACCCTCACCTTTGGCAAGACGAGAGTCATTCGCATGACCGCTCTAACATCTACCTTTTCATCCCGTTCCGTCTTGACTTCTACCTGCAGACTCATCTCAACATCCTCATTTCTACGACGTGGATTATCCTTGCATAACGCTTGCTCAGCAGGCACTCCCTACCGTAAAGCATCAAGGACATCACCACTGCTCTTCATTTCTCTCCATAGAACCTCCTGAAGCATAGTCGATCGCGAGTATATCACTGGGCTACATATGTTTTACCAGTGCAGCGTTCATTCGAGTCTGTACAGCCTGTTTAACGAGACTGCCACAATAGAAGTAATGAACTCCTGAACTTCACAGGTTTCAGGAGCCCTGCACCCTCCCATGATTCCCGTGGGGGCGGCCTGCGATTGATATCGCGCAATCCAGAAAGCAACAAAACCTGGTCTTTTCATCGCCAAAGCTTTCTGCCAAGTCATTAGCATGATTTGACGGCCATCATTACTTTTCGCTAGCAGAGCGATGTAATCATAGTGGAGGATGATTTATTTCAAGGCTCAACCTAATAATAAGTTTATAGTGGCAACTAGTGCTAGTGGGAAAAATATTGAGCCCAGGGACTATGTAGAATGAATTCCAACTCTAGAGTCTACTAGTACTGAGCTGTGAGCTTTGCGTATAGTCTATCACGCGTACTATTGACAATGGAGATTAGATGTTTTGAAATGTTTTATTCTCGAAACCCTCTGCAGAGGTTTGGTCGTATAGGTTAGATGCTTTTTTTAGATCGATAGAGGCTATGTAGCAGGGACTAGTTTTTTCTCGACACATTCATCACCTGTTCAGCTAATGAAAAGGCCTGAGGCACTGCAATGGCCTTGTCCACCTTTCAGACATGAATCCAGACTGTTCTTGCGAGATTGTTAATACAAGCTTCTTCAGTTTCGAATAATACAGCAGCTCATTAGATTTATTGTGTGTGAAGTCAAACCTGCGTTAAATGGGATTCTCTGTTAGGTCCTCTTTCTGTTTGAAATCAAAGGAGTTAATCGCTTCTCCATGCATCTGAGATTCTCCTCTGTGCACTTATAGTGTTCAGGATTTCTATAGATCACCAACCCCATGCTCCCTCCCGTAACACTACGGGTGCCTATTATGGACCACTCACTTTCTAGACCTTTTCCTCCTCAATTGCATAGTGCACCTCGTTTTCTGACCTGACCGCAATAAAAGTGGCTGTTGTTCGTTTAATAGCCTGTCGAAGTTTTTCTTTATTACCCACTAGCGTTCCACGCTTCATCATGACTTCACTGCCTACTTTTCCTGCTGTTGTGTCGACTAAAACTCCTGCAGTTTGCGTCTTTAGCCCGAGCTTGTATGCGTTTTCTGCTTTTCGACGCGCTGGCCTTTTACGTCACAGAAATATTTTGCTGCTTCGTTTGCTCTAAATCCCTCATTGAGCTTCGGGAGCGTTTTACTTTATAATGGTAGGATAAACTCCACAACGTTGCTACAAGTGTCCGGGTTGGTGATAAGCCAGTTTCACTGCCCTCTTTTGAGATATCCTTTTTTTGAACTGTTTTCACTTATAAGTTGATATTATTGAAATCGATAGCAGAATCTCTAACAGAATTTGCCACTTCGATATAAAAGGCATTTCACTTGGTGTACTCCTTGTTACAAAGAAGAGTGAAACTTTCTCAAATATTGCAGCTTTCAACAAGGACAATATGAATATACATCAATCCATCCATCCAGTCAAGGCTCTGAAGGAGATATTTAGCATCGAAAACAAGGCTCGAGCTCGACGACTACCTGGGCGCGACTTATGTAGTCTGGACACTGTCAGTGTCGTACAGGGTGGGACAGTCAAACCGCACGATCCTAGCGGACAATTGAAATACACACACAAACAGTAGTCAGTCATGTATTGCAATAAATTATGAGAGCATTGATGGAACTTTTAGTATAAAAAGAAAAATTAATGTTGGGTGAAGCAGTAAAAGCGCATGATTAGCAAAGCAGGTAGAGTGTAAAGGTTGTGTAGTGAGGGAAGTAGGCTGCGGAGCAGCCGTTCTACGCATTCGCAAGTTGCTAATTATGCAACATTAGACTGCTTCACAGCGAGGTTCCGGTGCTACAGCGTATCTAGAAAATGACCGAAGTTACACACGTGCACAATGCAAATTTGGCTGGCATTTTCATCTGGCGCCTCGTGCTCCTGTTCTGAGCCGCAAAGTCGTTGCTGTTCAGACTGACAACAGCGGTACAGGATTCAAAAGTTCGGATTGAGCAAGAAGTCTTTGCGATAACACCGGTGATGCTAAGACATTCCAGTGAGGCTTTCAATATGAGACTCAGACATTGTGCTCAAAGTGGTGGTCACAACCTTACTGGAGTCCAATCCGAAAAACAATTATTTGGAAGGCTGCAATGTGAAAAATCGAGTGTTTAATGTTCGAAGTAAGATCCATGTTTCTAAGATTTGTGGCAACATATGGCTGTTTCTGTGACTGATTTTTTTATTAATATTGGGAATAGTGCGCTCTGAGTGCCCAAACCTGTGTAGGAACTCTCGGAACGATCTCGACTGTCAAGGAACGAGGGTTATCAATTAGGTTGATGCATAATTATTGCGGATTTTTTCGCGGCTTTTGTTCTCTAAATAGAATTTGAATATTGAATTCGGACTCTTTCTAGAAATGATCTGCTTGATTTCCTCTACAAAAATGTTGTGAGAAAACCATCCGCATACTCGCGAAAATAGGCTCTACTACTTCGAGAAAGTTTGGAAAGTGGCAGGGTCATTTCGCGATTTCAGTAACTTTTCGGCGACGGAACAATCAGCCAAAGCCAACCAAGAAGTGGGACCTGCTTCTAAATCTGTCATATTCACCAGCAGAAAGATTTTATAGATTATCCTGTCAACCGTTTGCTAAAGAAATGGCTAGGGAATAAAACTTCCGTCGATGTGGATGACTTGATGGCCGATGCCAAGGCGTGGATCGCCTCCACCAAAACTTCTTCGCTTTGGAATCCGACTATCTAGCCAATGGGAAGCAATGCTTGACGTACATAGTGAGTATGTTCCGGAATAATTATTTGAACATGTTCTTGTTCAGTATTTTTATCGTTTCGTCAGATAAAATTTGCTGAAAAAATCCGTAATAATTATGCATCGACCTAATATAAACTGAAGAAGGAGATGATTCGTCAAAAATTTTCATAGATGGAAACAAACACAGAAGTATGACGAGGATAGACATTAGCGATATCAAACGTGAGTAGCGCTGAAAAAAAGTCATGAGGTCGATGAGGTCATTCGACGGCTGAAATATTATATATTTTCTCCATCGAAATGAGTGAGCACATGAGTTGTAACAGTCTAGAAACAAGAAGACAACAACGCCAATCTAGAAAAGGATGGCAACAACCATGTCATAGCATGTTGTTGCCATCCTTTTCTAGATCGGCGTTAGTGGCTCACAAGCCTAACTAGTTATCAGCAAAACTTTGGACATGGACAATACTCAAACCTGTACATGTGCTTTCCAGGCTTAGACCCCGCCTGCCCTTGCCTTCTTTATGACTTTCAAGCCATAGCCCAACAGCATTCACGAATACAACGTCATGAGCCAGTCATCCAATATCGGCATTGAACCGCAAAGCTTTAAGCTTCATGAGTGCTGAAAAACTACGGCTTAGAAGCCCTCACAGTAGAGGCCCGAGTCCCCTTCTGAGTTTTGCCCTTAACTCCAGTTTTGTGACCCTATAAACTGTATATGCAGGACATATGAACAAGCGATGCGAGCATATGTATCTTACCTCCCAATCCAACCAACCTTTCCTATTTTTTTGCGTCCATTTATGTTCAAGCGTTTTTTCTTTTCAATCAAACTCATGACCTTTTACGTCCATTCAACATTTCGAGGCCTGCCAAGTTCTGTATTTATTTCATATAAAACGGTTAGACCTTCTTAACTGACATACTTAATTCTATAGAAGCATGGCTAGACCTCCTCTACCGAGGTACATGAAATTCGCTGCATTAGCATCCTGAAAAACGGCGCCCAAGAAGCGGAAGCTCGAAGAAACGGCTCCTATGACCCATATTGACGCCCATTTGGAATGTAGAGTATCGACATCCACCAACACAATGATTGTCGATCTAAAGGCTTCAGCTGTCTTCTTCACTCTGAGATGGGAGAATTTATTGGATACCATCGAAACATGCTCGAGGGACGAATCAAGTGCCAAGAAAACATTTTGAAACATTATCAGCAGCCTTCGACTGCGCTCATCAACTATTTATCAACTCAATCAAATTCATCCATTCGAATAATTTTAAACTTGGGAGACTACGTGCAAATTTCCAGCAACACGCAGAAATTAAAGCGAACTACGATTACGGCGTCATATTTCTGAACAACAGATACTGCGCTGTGCATTCTTTTCAAGTGACTCTTTGAATTGTTGATAATTGAAGGGCCTAAACTTTCAATTAACCCTTCCTCCTCTCGGAGGAACGTTGGTAAAGTTCGCCTGATTCCTGGAAAGATCTTCCTAATATTCAACTACACCCCCGCCCTCCGCTCTCACGAATAAAGCCAACAATGACTAGTAAGTGATCAATACACTCCCCACTTTCTATAACCTCACTAAATGGATAAGCAAATCGAGGGTCTAGTCCACAAAGCTTAGTCCACCAGCTTGCCCTTAGTAGCTTGGTTCAAGTCTGAGAGAATTCGGAGAACAATTTCAGACGATAGAATGATATTCACATGAATATACCGCAAAGCGTTTCTTTCAGAGAAAAAGCAACACATAGGAAATTACTGATTTGTATGATTTGTGAGGCAGCACAGCTTAGTTCACCTATATGAGCAAAATACTCAAACATTGTCACAAGGTGATCTGTAATACAAAAGTAAAATTGACTGAATGGAAACTGCTGAAGAAAGGGGCACAAAAGTTGAAACTCCTGCGAGCAAGGAATGAGCAATTCATCAAATGTAAATGATGCATGGACCGCACTTATCACTCACACTCACAAGGACTCACAAATCAAAATTTCGACATAGGAAATTCACAATGTCTATCGATAAAGTACCCTGTACGCAAATGCCAGTACGTGAACATAGCTAGTTCCTAGCATAGGCAAAAGGACGCCATGGCATGAACACTATTCCGTTCAGAATAGAGTAATAACATAAGAAAAACATTAGAACAACCTCATGTGACAGCGCCTCAAACTATTCATTCTGCGCAATTATTATGTAGGTACATTACCGACTCAAGCATTACACATGGCATTTCCGGAGAAGTTCCTAGAAGCGTCAGTAAAGTATTATACAACAACGTTCTGTAAGAGGCCTGACGAAGAGCTTCTTGAAAGCCCCTCACCTTATTTATAAAACATTCGCCTCTATTACATAGTCACTTTTTTCAACGGATAGTCGGAAGAGGCGGAACAGGGGAAAAATAAACCCGAAACCATTTAAGTAAGGAATGTTCACAATTTTCTGTTCGTTAGCCCTGCCTATTTGTTAAAATTGGACCTTTACCTATACCACGGAGCTGGTCTTCAACATTTGACCACCACATTGCCTATCATGCAATCACCAGACACATTTACCATACAAACAAGTAGACACAGTACATAGGCAAGGGTGACGAACAGCGAGCTATTCTATTAGACAATCCATGAATTGTGAAACATGTTCAGATGCAGAACGTGGACCAATAATCTCAGCTAATTCACCTCATTAAAATCGTTTTGGAGGTTACTTTAAAAAATTGAGATTATTGATAACTATATACCTAAGAGAAACGAAAACGTATAATGGAACAAAGGATCCTGACCATGTTCACGCTTGCAACCTTATACCTGTAGATGAAGAAACATGCCTAATATATGCTATACAGCATGCTATAGCATGCTGTATAGGCACTGATTTTGGCACTTGGAGTTACTCCTAGTTTCTTATTTTCATCGCAACTCACCAAGTTGCTGAACTTGAGTAGAGTTGTTTTGAATTTCGGTAGTATATTACCCCGATTCTTCCCGTTGTTCGGGTTTTTATTGTGCACTGATAAATAAGTTTTAGTTGAGAATTTTTCGAAGCTTTCGTCACACAACTTCAAGAAATCGATCATTGGCACCTAGTGGATTCTTCAGTGTGATGTCGAGCACGTCCTTGTCATCCTTCTCGCCGGATAATGATAAAACCAGTTCTGTCATGCTTTCATCTACAGGTATGATGCGCTCTATCGTTCCTCCGTACTCCCTCACCTCGTACAACAGATGAATCTGAAAAAATCGTGCTCAGACTTCACAGAAACAACTTCAAAGAATGTTGATGAAAGATCTGTTGCCACTGTTGAATCTGAAGATAGGGTTCGGTATCTTCTCCCCGAATACCACGTCGCGCTTGCCGCACCTACCACGTATCGCAGAAATGTGAGGGAAGATTCGAGAGCGCAATCTGTGAGTTGGGGAATTTTTAATTATTAACATTTGCTGCCCACTTTCTTCAATCTCAGTGCGTTTTTGAACTTCAATAATAGAGGAGTCTTTTCGGAGAACCAGCACTAATAACATGAAAAAAAGAAGAAACAGAAAGAAACATTCAAGACAATTAAAAAACAGCCAATCAACGAGAAATATGGTGTTCTTTCGATAGGTCGGAAGGAGGGCTGAGTACGGCAATTGCAGTTTAAAGCCGCGAGACAACTAAAAAAGATTCGTTGCATGTCACAATGCGAGCGTGGGGAATCGGGAAGAAGTTCCGCCACCCTCTAAGGCTACCTTTTTTTGTTTCACGACATATCTGACATATTCCAAGACAGTGGACACGTCACTCTTGTTGAGATAGAACACCTAAATAAATGTAACAACATATTGACTCCAAATCACTTCACTCTCAGGAATGCTATCGACCTGCCCTAATGATGCAGCTGCAATTTTTTCGTAAACTCGAAATCCAGGATGTTTTCGGTTTCCACAGTCTCCTGTCATTACAAACACAACCTGAAAAATAACGTGTGTGGCCCGGTACAATAAGCAATATGTATTCATTCATGAACATAAATTCTTTCTTGCAGAGTAGTCACTAGGTTCAACGATATGAGCTTGAATAAATATTGTACGTATTGCAGCTTCTGTATAATCTGTTCCATACTTCATCGCAGTTTTGCTCTTTCCAACTTTGTTACTCATTGAATGGGCACAACGTATCTAAGTAGTCTTGAGCCAATAACTCTTACAAAATGACTTTAGTACATGCGCTCACTGCTCCGTATTTGTTATCAGCCCTTTCATGACCAACTTTTTGCTAGCAGGGTTAGCGATTTCCTATCTGACTGTTGTACAGTCAGCTAACTTTGTGTAACTTGAAATTTCAATGGCGTTATTGCAAGCTCGTTATTCGAAGACGCATAACATGTCTTTCAACACTGCCGGCTTTGCAATGCAACTTACAAGACTTACTCGATACAACGAGTTGTTTAAATGATTAGTCTCACCTTCCAGCTATCCAGTTAGTAATGGCCACTTATGAGACATTACATGCATTTTTTGTTCTTCTTAATCGTTCATATTGCTAAAAAGTTCAGGCATGGATCACCTGGTTTAGGAGAAATCTACAAAACTACGTGGCGGGTTGGCTTCCCGCCACGTAGTTTTGCAGATTCCCTGTTTCAAAGCGGTTCCCTGTTTCAGTTTCCGCGGATAATTTTGGTTGTTGAACATCCGGCACATTCACGATTTTGAGCAACTATGGTGGGGCCTAGGAAAGGATCACAGTTGAAATGCTCTAATAGATAAATTAAAAAGTCTGAACAATAGATTAAAATGAGTTTTCAAAGAAAGTCGCTCGCGTTCGAAAGTAAGTAGAATCTCGTGAAATGAAGATTCATTGAAACCCCCCTAATCCGAAGTACCTTACGAGAAACACAAAATTACTAGGTGCGGCAAAAAAAATCAAACCCTTTTACGAAACAAAGTCAAATTTCTAGAAATGTGTTTCTGTTGTTCCCGCTAAAGCCGTAAGAAAGTTTTGCACCTGGAATTCGACGTTCCTACTCGCCTCTGTGAAGTTGTAATGCCATCCCTTCGACCTACAGTAGCGCTCAAAAGTCTACGGTGAACGCGCAAAATCTGGATATGTTTAACTAAAGCATACTTCACCCTACCCAATACTATTTGACTGCGAAACTTCTATATTCACAAATAGAGCAAGGTGTTTGTTGCGGTAGCAGATTTTGCTAAAACTAAAGTTGTTGACATCTGCACTTATTCGCACCTTATATGCGTTTTTCTCATCTATTGTGTTCGGCGTTACCGCTCGTACACTTTAGACTTGACATAAAGGAAAGAGATTCTAGAAGGACCATCACCTGTATTTTCGGTCGATTTTGAGTTCATGTTTTTTGGAGTATCTGGAACATGATCAGATTGCAGGTTAATAGTGGTAAATATTCACAATACACCCACGCTCCAAATATAGAAATTTCGCCATGAACAGATCTAGTAGGAAAGGAGTTACGATTGAAAAGTACGACTGAAGAACCATTGTACCGAAGACTTTTAAGCGCTACTGTACATTCGACACTAACTTTATTACGAGTGCCGTCTAGTACGTTCAGCAGACGATGTCTGTTGCAACATCTGTAGAAGAAAGCAATTGCAGCCTCGGAGCCAAACACGTTTTGTTTTTTTTATAGGGTCGAGGAGCTTGGAGAGCAGTGTGTTCGCTACTACCCATCAACCTGCTGCAATCATGCATTGCTCCTGGCTGTCTATGAGCTTTCCTTCGAGCCATGAGGAAAATACGAAATATTAGGCAGCCGCACAAGCTAGAGAAATGAATTCTTATCTGCGTTGGGCTGCTTTGCGGGAATGTGTGGACACTCGTCAAAGTTTACCATCTAGAAATCGCCGCTTCGATCAGCTCGAATGTGGTAGGAGAGGATAGCTTACTATGACTGTCCAGAGAAGGTCATGCTGTGCGTTCAGTTCACGTTACCACGATCTGTTGGTTGACAGCTGCACTGCAGGCGCACAGACTTGCAGTTCTATAGAGTTGATGTGAAACTCGCGAAACTGCAGCTTCCTATGAGTGTAGTTTCCCCGCTACACGACAGCGCAATCACACATGTCGCAAAAAAGCCTTGAAAGCAACACTCTTGTAACGTTGAGAGTGTTCAAACTTAGGTATATCCTGCTTTTTACATTTCCGTTATCTAGTTGGGGATTAGATTCCCAGTAATCGCGCCACATGCTTATTTTAAGACGCTTTGTTTCAGATAGTCGGAGAGCCGATCGAATGGGCGGAGCAGGAGGCGAGGATGCCGATGGGGGATTGGAACACGGGAGTCGCGCCGGGAACCGTCGTGAGACCGTCGCTTACACCCTTCTCTCTTTGAGTCTCTTCGATATGTTGATCTCTCTCCGGCTTATGTACATCGATGTCGTGAAGATGCCTTGTGAATGCTTGCATGAATATTCATAAAGATTGCATTTAATTGTGTGTCGTATTGTCGCGAAGTATTTGGGTCGACCTGGGGCCGTCTAACAGTAATAAGGGTTCCGACGCTGAGAGGACGTCTGAACCTTTAGTGGTAGCAGCGCGAGTGGGGCGTCATTGTACCCCTCGATTCACCGTACTTCACTCTTTTTAGAAGGATACCTTACGGGGTTAGCCCTTAAGATGACCGGTATAAGCCCCTACCGGGGGGCGAACGTGTAGACGAAATCGAAATGAACAGCTTTAGCCGTCTGGCCAACTTCTAACGCATTACTTGGTCATTTTAGTTTGTCTCTACGTTCCCTTGCATTTAATGCACGTTAGGTTAATCGGTGATAACGCGCTATAATGTGATTTGTGAACACAAAAGTGAAAGCAATCACGAGAACAGTCCGTCAGTTGTCAATTTTTTAGAGGGAGATCAACAAACTCGATGAGCATTGTTTCTGAGTAAAATCTTGTTTCAAAAACTTCTTCCTACTTCGTTTTTTTTAATGTTGCTCTTTTCGCTTTCTCAAATCCATACCAACGCGAGGGGTTTAAATGATAGTTCCGTGTCGATTCTTGTATTCATCGCTACTTACATGTGAGACTCCGCTGCGACTCTCCCCACACAGTATCATAAGTGACACGTTCGAGTCACAGTCCTTTTTATCTTCGAATTCATTCGGAATGCCCAAGATACCGTAACTTGGTGAGGCAACGACAAGAGATTCCTTATCTATCTGTCGATCTCGACACCGCGGGGGCCGACATCATGCGGGGAAGCGCGGATGCCGTGAATTTTTCCCCTTGGTCTTGCAAGCTGTAAACATAAACATAGGGTTTCCGTATCTTTCCGCTGATCTCGAGACCGGGAAAGCTGACGTCGCGCTGGGAAACATAGGCCTTTCAAGCCGCGAATATAAACATAGAGCTTCTAGCGAAGATTCCCAGCAATGGGTGGCATCGCCATGAGATGATCAACGCTGATACGGAGCGGAAAGCCAACGGGTATATAGAGCCCCTGATCACAACCAAGGGCATTCTCGGATTCATCCGCGCGTTGTGAGGACTCTGTCCTCAGGTCTCTCTCTCACTATTAGTCCAGCACTCACGCGTTCTCAAAGTCTTGCCCGAAGTTCGACCGTAGAAAGCTTCTCTCTACAACCTCTGTCTTCTGCTCTGAACTCACTAGACGATCATCAGTCTACTTCTAGCGGTCGTGCTCACGGGACTCCCTCCATGGAGCGTGATCCCACAGCTCCATTATGCGGCCTGACCTATGGGCAGCTCGCACCCAAACCGATTAAATGCTTCTCTGGGTCTGATGACCAAGATTTTGAAGCGTGGCTAAGAAAATTCGAAGATACTGTCCGTATGGTAAATCCCCCTTTACCGGACCAGCTAAGAATCAATACCTTGGTAGGATTTTTAGAGGGAGGGGCGCGCGACCTCATTGATGACCTATCAGAGGAAGATAAAAACTCATATCTGAAGGTAATTGATCACCTCCGTACGCATTTCGCATCACAACAGTTCCGCAGTTTAGCCAGACAGCAGCTTTCAGACTGCAAACAAGGCCCGACCGAAAGCGCACGTGACTTCGCGGACAGGATTAAGCACATCGTACGAAAGGTAACGCGGGGTCAACCAAAACAGGCACAAAACGAGCGCCTCCTAGATGAGTTCCAGGATCGCTTGAAGCCGGCGCTGAGGTTCCACGTGAAAGCGGCGAATCCGATGACCTTTGACGAAGCGGTGGTGAAGGCGATTACATACGAGTCTCTCCTTAATGACGTGGCTAATGCCATCACTATTTTCCCGGGCGCTCAGTCAACCGCGCCTCCACCGGTACGCGTTGTATCAATGAGGAGCAATTCCAACCCGCCAACATCGGGATTCTATCAGAGAGGACAACGTAGGAAACCTCTCAGATATTCTACCAACAGCGGTAGAAACCGAAGATTTTGGGAGAGAGCACCCAATGCGGATGTAGTCTGTTATCGGTGCGGTTGAAGGGGTCATTTTCAAACGTTCTGTAGTTTCAGTTTGCCTCCCGCTAACATTCACCCCCCTCTACCGCCAGCAACGCGAAATTTGAGAGCTCCAATTGCGAGTTCCCCCCGCAATTCTAATGAGCAGTATCGCGGGTCTTGTCCCACCCAACAACGTCCGAGTCGCGTGGGTGGTACCCTAGACAAGCAACACCACGCGCAGTTCGTACGACAGAACCAGCCGTAGAAATGGTAAACAATCAGCGTAATAACACCATAACGGATGATGCAAAGACGCTCAAATAACTGCGCTCATCGAACGAAATAATACATTAGCGGATCTAGTACTTGCGACTCAACGAACAAGCATTTCCAGTGACCATAATGACCATAACAATAGTCCCAGTATAAGACGCTCGTCTTCCAATGCCACACCTGCATGGGCATATACATGCATGACGATAGTAGCCTTGGCGGCTTGCACCCAAGCCTCTCCCTTGTCCCCTGCCTATCTCTGCTTTAATAAATCGCCCATGAGTTACTGGAGAATTCCTGAGCAAATCAACTGTTCTCGAATATTGCCTCCATCATCTTCTCCACCACAATTACTTGCACTTAACGTTTATAGACCGAACACTATTCGCTATCAGAGTGCGGCCCATGTATGCCGAATTGTCTCTCAAACGGTGACCTACTCGGTCAACTTCTTCGGCGCCCGCTCACAAATTATGTCCACGCAAGAAAAAGCTGTCCCCGTAGGTGTATGTCGGCATATGGTACGGCATGAATCTTGTTCGCATGGGGAACTCACAGCAGTTGGCACAGTATGGAAAACCATGAATAAACTTCAGTTTGAATGGCCGTCAGCTCCGTTCCAATGCTGCACAGAGCACTCTGTAACAGTAGCTAACTGTATCATCTTTCCGACTACTGTATTCGCTTACCACGGTTCTCCTAACACATACCTTTCCTCGATCCCGTAACGTACGTTCTGGTCAACTCGGCATCCCCTACGAAATGCAAGCAGAAAATGGTATTTGAGTTGGCTCATCAAGGATCCATAACACGGTTTTATCCTATGTTAGGCGCTTATGAGGAAGTGGCGCCCTCGCTCACCACCGTAATCCCTCACGCTGACGCGCCTCCACTTTCCAACGTGAAACCGGCACTAACCCTTTTCCACAATCTCGTTCTGACCAATGTCAGCGAGTTTCTGCCTCAACTACAATTTAGCGAACTGTGGGCAGCAGTGGAAGGATCTCAAGCAGCATTAGACGCTCATTTGGATGCTCATCCGACGGACACTCAAAGTGCGTCTCAACACTCCGTGGCTACCACCGCTTTCGCACTTACCCCTTTTGCATACCTCCAATCATATCTGTATCAATCATGGGTTACTATCTGTTGCCTCTTCAATACTGTAAATATGCTCTTACGTGTGCTCGCGATATATGCATAGTTTTCTCTGAATTCCTCGGCAGCGCGTTTGTTGTCTGGTTTACAGAGACAAGGCGTTGGTCGCACGGAGGCTAGTCCATTACGCGAGCAAACCACTGTAGCCGTAGACGCTGGTTCTCCAGCCCCCTCCAAATTTCCCAAGGGTCTTTAGTTCATCATCAGACAGCGCGACTCTTTCCGCCCATATGAGCCTTAAAGTTAACGGGGTTCATGTATCTGCACTAATTGATACAGGTTCCTGCATAACATTGGCTTCTCGAGACCTATGTCCAGCTCTGGGTATCTTTCAATTGGACCCACCAAGAGCAAACACCGCGGTAGGCATGGCGGGTACTCAAGACGCGCTGGCAGGTTCTAAAAAGGTTTTTTTGCAAATCGAGGACATAGCTATCACAACTGTTCTTCACTTCACTGAAGTTCGATGCGTTCTTCACATGGACTCTATTTATGAAGTCATTCTAGGCAGCGACACATTGTCTTTGCTTCCCACGATGACTTTGCTCTTCCGTGAACAAAAAGTGTATTTCGGTTCCACCATGTTATCTTTAGGAAAATTTCCAAGGTGTGTGCAACGACCCAGGAGCACGCCCTACCACGTAACAGCAGAACACACCGTAACCATACCACCAAACACTGAATCATTCATTTCTTGCGTGGTTGAGAATTCCAACCAGTCACAAGATCTTATTTTTATGTCACAATATGGTAAACCTATGGAAAAGGACCTCATCGTAGCTCCTGCAATAATCTCATCCCATGAACCGGTTCTACTGGTATCAAACCTCACTAATCAACCAATCACCGTATACGAGGGCATGCGGTTGGCAATTGCTAGTACAGCAACTCTTCGAAGATGTCATTACTTCTCCCGTTAAACCGACATCCTGTGCAGTTGAACATAACGCACAGGGATCCTTCTTACAAAGTGGATCTCGAAAATTGCGATTTAAACGCAGACCAACGTAATCAATTACAGCATCTCTTAGATTCCTTTCATGACGTATTTTCTAAACATCAATATGACATAGGCAGCTGCACGGCGGGAAAGGTGCACATTTCTTGCAACAAATGGTCTCCCTGCTAAAATCCGACCCTACCGGGCACCTACGAAATATCGCGAAAAACTTCAAAAACACATAAATATGCTATTACGAGCAGGAGTAATGAAAGAGTCCCATACCCCATGGGTCCATAACCTGGTGGTGGTCCGTAAAAAGGATAATTCTCTTCGAGTATGCCTTGACATGCGACGTCCAATCAACGCTGGTACCGCGTATCGACGTGGTCCTAGAGAAACTAGGGGGACACCAGTTTTACACGACACTAGATCTGGCGAAAACGGATATCTTCAGCTGCCCTTGATGAGGAAAGCAGTTACAAGTGTGGGGTAATTACTGAAAATAAGGTATACCAAATGACTCACCTCCCTTTCGGACTGAAAGCGGAGGGGACTTATTTCGCGCGTATCATGGCAAAAGTACTCGGTGGTCTTGACGACTGTGTCCTGACCTATATCGATGAATCCTCATTTACAGTAAAGATTTCCCTACTCATTAAGAGGCAATTAAAAAGGTATTGTCGCGATTGCGCCAGTTATACCTTAAAGCATCACCTAAGAGATGCGTCTTCGCCAAAAACCAAATTACTTTTTTGGGCCGCATTATAAATAAGAATAGCTACTCCCCGGCGGAAGCAAATACTAGAGCGGTTTGCGAGTTCCCTACGCCCCGTAACGTTAAAGAGGTGAAACGTTTTCTCGGAACGGTAGGATTCTTTGGAAAATTCATACCTAATTTCGCAAATATCGCTGAACCATTAACCTGGCTCACTCGAAAAGACAATAAATTTCAATGGACGGATCAGCAGGAATCTGCCTTCATGACGCTGCGTGACGCGTTCATTCAGAGACCAATATTAGGGTTCCCAAGTTATGAAAAACCTTTCTACATTTTCACAGATGCCAGTGCAGTAGCACAGGCAGGCGCATTGATGCAAGAGTTTGAAGAAGGTCAAAAACGGTTTTACGCAGTGGCATACTGCAGTCGTACGCTAAGTGACACTGAACGCAGGTGGCCGGCAGTTTAAATCGAGCTAGGGGCAATTATATACGCGTTGCGGCAATTCAAGCCTTATATATGCATGACAAAAGTAGTGCTCCATAGCGACCACAAGCTCCCCACCTTTCTACTTAGTAAAAGCAAAACCCATGACTGTCTCGCCCGTTGGCTCATCGAGTTATAGAGTTATGACATTAAGGTCGAGCACATCAAAGGAAAACAGAACACAGTTGCTGACGCTCTTTCGCGCGCGACTGAAGGCAGCAATGAATTGTGTCATTCGAGCGAAGAGCTCAAGGACATTTTAGAATTTCCGGTTAGCTTACCATTGTCGTTTGCTCTTACACAAGAGCACACCTTTCCGGTGGCCATGCCGTGTCGCACTTTCATTCGAGGAATGGATCATTCAGTCGACATGGCAGCCGAGCAGCAAAAGGACCCTTTCCTAGAAAAGGTTCTTAACTTTAAAAATGATCCATCTTTCGCTGCCTCACTTCCGGAATCGCAGAGAGCCAGCATCGCACAGTTTGCCAGCAAAGTGACAATAGCGGCAAACGGCTGCCTATACTATCAGCACCATGGCCAACCCTCCCATCCTCTACTAGTCGTCCCGCAAACTCTACAGCCCTTGGTATTCAGCGCTCACCACTCTAGCGCACTATCAGGAGGGCATATGGGGTGGAGAAAAACATTGGCCAAAATTTTACGTAAGTATTACTGGCCGTCTGTGTATTCGGACATCCATAAATGGTGCGACGCGTGTATGACATGCCAAATGCGGCGGCAGCCGAATCCAGCATACAGGGAGCGTCTCATTCCAGTATATAGCGAAACGGTCTTTGCTAAGGTAGGGTTGGACTTGTGTGGCCCTTTAAGGGTGACTGAACGTGGCAATAGATATATCCTTAATATGATATGTTGGTTCACTCGCTATGTTATATCAGTGCCTCTACCAGACGCACGCGCAAACACTATTGCACACGCACTACTCACAGAATGCGTTCTCAAGTACGGCACTATGTCCGAACTCATTTCTGATCAGGCCTCCAGCTTTACCTCCTATTTTTACCAGGAATTCTGCAATCTTTTATATATTCGACATAAACTGGCTACACCATACCATTCAATGGGGAATGGAGCCACCGAACGTACATTCCGTACATTCGAAGTCATGTTATCGAAGTTTATTAATATTAAGCAGGAAGACTGGGACCTATTCCTTCCATGCGTATCTTTCTGTTACAACACAACCATCAATGAAGCTACAGGCGAATCACCATATTTTCTAATGTTCGGTCGCGATCCAGTATTCGCTATTGACCGTATACTGGAACCACAAAACCCACCTCTCATTCCTCCCACGCGTGAGGTGGACGAGTATAAAGCACAATTAGTCTCAGCACTTCAACTTGCATGGTACAACGCGGCTGAGCATGCCCGACAGTACAAGCTTAAAATGAAACTAAGCTATGACAAAGCAGCCCGACCACTACAAATCCAAACCGGTGATAGAGTTTTCTTCAAAAATTTCACCAGCAAACAGGGTCTAGCACGCAAACTTTGTTTTCCGTGGATCGGACAATTTCGAGTAATCAAAGTAGAACCCCCACATGCTGTTATTGTTAGCATCACTTCACCTCAGTCAAAGCCACGTAGAGTACATCTGAACCAAATCAAAAAGGTCCTGGATTGCTGTGGTCCCGCTTCTACCCTCTCCTCAATTCCGGAAGAAGGAGGATACATAATTGCTCGAGCTCCAATCGAGCCTATCGTTGGGTACGACCATACCACTACATCGACAGAACCACAGCTACAAGCCGTCCCTATGCCCGAACCGACGCATGGCCACGATCTTCGGTCAAGATAACCCACCCATTCCTCATAAACTGCTTCTTACTCTTTCACTCGTTTGAATCGCGATAGCCATAATGATTCGCTTCCTTTTCTACTTTCCTTTTACATTATTGTCGTGTTTATCAACGATTTGCATACTCCGCGTCGTTTCTTCTCTACGAACCTTTTTTATGTGCTTTGTCGCAACTCAGCTACGATTCCTCCCACCTATAAATACATTAGTAATATATTCTTTCCACTTCCAGATATTATGGAGCAAGCTGCACAATCGCCGTCCGAAACCATCGGTGATCAGTCAGATATGAACGTTACTTCAATAGAGGGACCTTCACCTGAACCGACTTATTTTTCTA